TACAAAGTTAATATTGTCTTATACTTGCAGTGTAAGGCTTATACTAATGCTCATTCATATAAGTGCAATTTGTTGATACTTCTTAAATAAGAATTAATTATATTTCGTCTGTTAACTAGATGACAAACTAGTTAATTTAAGGTATGTAATAATAGTATAAGGGTATACTTTCGTTCTACATATACTAACTTATAGATTGTATAACGAAGACCGTATTGAGATTTCTTCTTTCATCTCGTTCAGTTTTCATTTATCCTTTTTCTTTTTTTTTTTAACTATACCTTCAACAAGCTTATATTGCATGTAAAAAGATTTGGCTAGTATTCAATCTTACACTAAGTTTAATAACATGGATGTTCCTTGGTATCGCGCGCGATACTCTTTTAATATAATATCTAAAACCTTAAATCAGTGGAGTTAATGTAAAACATGTACAATATTAATAAATCTCTAATATAAGTCGTACAATTCGAAAAGCCTGAATATTAAACTTTTTTTTATGAGCATTTGTGCACTCTAATTTCTATGTAACAGTATTCCGCAAGAGAGAGAGTGTGTGTATATTAATATATAATATATTGAGAATTATTCACATAAATCTAGATAGTAATATATTGCCGAATCTTGTGCTTGTATAGACAGCATTAATTTACGCCAAATATATAAATTAACGTGTTAAATTTGGAACTTAAATATTGCTAGCGAATTGCAAATACTCGATTAGATTGGTAGAATTTTAGGCGAAATTCTTTTCAAAGAAGAGAAGATATTAGCTTTCCGTAGTCGTGTCGTTATATAAATCAGGCATAATATCGCCGCATCGGCGAGAAACAATGATCTTTCTTCTCAAGAGAAGAGGAAAAAAAAGTATTCCTGTCGTACAAAATTACGAAAACTGCTTTGGCGTGACTCGTCGCGTATGCTAATAACAACTCTTTACAATTCAAACCACCTTATTTAGTACGCTACGTATTATGTTTCGTTCAATTCGTTTGTCAGTCGACTACTATTACGCTGGACGAGACCGCGTGGGGAGTGGAAACGTTAGTAAACTTCAGTTGCAATTTGCGTTTCTCGTGCTCGCTCTCACATGATTAGCTTGCTTCTGCGAGTCGCTGTCTTCGTCGCTGCAATCCTCGTCGTGTGTATGCGTGACGTTACGTGGTGTTTCCGGTCTTGCATGTGGAATTTGACTGTTATAATGGTCCACGAATAAAGTTTTCTGGAAGAAGAAAGCATTATTGCGACTTCTAAATCGCGCATTTTTTTTTCGAGAATGCATCACGCGAAGTTTCAATCTCGATGTCAATTAATATCAACCAATATGACAATGATGCTTTCAAAAAATACTCACAGAGGTAGGTCGATTGTGTTCTTCTTCCTCTTCTGCCAATTTAAATGTTCTAGAACGACTTATCATTGGTGTCTCCATGACAAACCTCTGTTCATGAGCTACTGTACTTTCATGAGGCATCTGAAGAGAAATTTGATGAGGATATTGGATGCACAAGACAATTGTGACAAGTCCCATAGAATATTCTGTCATACAATAAACTCACCAGCATGGCGGGTGCTCTGAACATGTACGAGAAGGGGTAGTAAATCAGATTCAAGAAGGTCGCTGCGTACAGATCGGCATACCTAACGACTTGGCTGCTGAAGAATGTTTGCCTGCTCCCGCTACGGAACAGAGAACCCATCATGCCGTATGCCAAGTCCATTTTGTGCGTGACGTCCCTTATGGACGTGCGTAACTTGGAAATGTCCGGCTTTTCCTTTGTGCTGCTATCTAAATTTCTGAACGAAGCAATTGATGCCGGGCATTAAATAGCTGATCGAAGAAGCGGGAAGTACTTTGTACTGGTTTGCCAACGAAAATGTCAAGGTGCCACTCACTTGTACATTTCTCCGAGCATAACATCGAGGCTCTGCAGTTCGGCGAACAATTGACATTTGTCTGTCCAAACGTGTAACTCTTGAACCAATTCCGGAACTATTAAGAAAGTCCTCCAGCCTCGTATCTTCTTGCTCTTTAAGATATCACCAAATATGTGGTCGCCGACGTATAACACATCTTTCCCCTTGGCGCCGATTAATTCCGTGAACACGTCGCAGGAACCTCCTGAGTACACCTCACCTGTTTCAAATAGAAGAACAGATGATCGAGCAACGATGTGTTACGCGTAATCAATGTAACGATCTTATTCACATATAAAATCAAGTTAATTTCAAGAGAACAACGCCGTCCGCATATTTTCTGATATATTTACCCGTATGCAGAGGCCCCTTGTGTGTGCCAAGTTTCAGAGCACCTGTCTTCGTGTCGACTTGTCGCAAGATTGTCCCTTCTCCGAAGAATAGTGGCTTCCTGGCATCCACTACAATCGTATCGAAATAGGTTTTCCAATTTCTATGCGGTTCGTCAGGCTGAAACGAGAGCGAAACGTGAGGCGACCCAGCCGTTTCTCGTGCGATGTGAACGACTCGACATCACATGTCGGTTTTTAGGCGAAAAGTTTGCCGTCTCTCTCTCTCTCTCTCTTTTCCTCAATCAGAAATTTATCACGAAAGTACAATTTCGCGCGTTCTCGGATTTGACAGACGAGTTTTTCTGCATCAATTTAATATACGTTTAAATATCGACATATCGTTTCTTGAAAATACCGTAAGTCTATCCGTAAGTCGTTAACTTTCACATGATGAACACAGCACGCTAATTCGCAATCGATGTTAAGTACAACAGTATAAGGGGAGAAGAAAACGTACCCATGCGCCATGTGGAAAATCGAACAAGTAAGTCATAATTTTGTCCGTGAAAACGTAATCACTGTTAGTTAATAGAAACACCCTCGCTCCGCTCTCTCGGATTCTCGTAAGGAACATAGGCAACCTCTCGTCCTTCTTCACGTATTCGTCCAAGTTTTCGATAGTTTTCGTTTTCAGGTCACCGTGAAGGTGTATCCAGTCTACCGCGCTCCTAACGTCTTGAAATATACTCCTGAAGCTCATGGTGAGCTCACCTTCTTTCACTCCGGTCTTCTCTCTACTGTATTGCGGCGAGTTTGTGAAAAAATCTATCAGACACGCCAGCAGGTACGTTTCCGGCAGGTTGAACAAGGTGTTGAGCACGTATACTCTAGATTCATCTAATTGTAGAAACTTGTTCGGATAAAGCTCGTAAACCTGAGAGCTGAAACGAGAAAGGGAATGATTTGCCGGAGCCGCACGAGCGGAATGAACGAGCGAGCTCCTCGGCGTGAGGAGTTCTAACAGGCGAATGTAAGGTAACTTCGGTACATATACGCCGCACCTAAGGAAAACTTAATTTATCAGGTATTATTTATTATATTTGAGGCAAATGAACTATACAAATAAAAAATGTATATTGTCTGTTATTATAAAAAAAAAATTGGGAATACGAATTATTTACTTTTTATATTTAACGGAAAAACTTTGAGAAACCCCTGTATGTTTGACATATGTCCCATAGAGTTAGGATATACGGCTTATAAAAAATTTACAAATAATTTACAAATAATATTTGTAAATAAGACATAAAATGATACAGTGACTTGTAAAATGTGTGTAAAAAATTGATCAGGATATAAGAATGAGAGATAAATATACGAAAAGTGATAATAAAAGTAACTTATCAATGTTTGACGTAAATAAAAATTCCGTCTTACAGACGTTAATGCAACCAATGTTGCAACATAAAAGGATTATTATAACAGAGTGGTTGCTGATAAATTACTCCCACTCCTTCTATTTTTTTCCGACCTCTGCGGCGTAAATACCAGAGTTATCCTGTATCCTTTGTCTTACTGTTTCAAGAACTCGAAGCCGTGAACGCAAACCAAGATGTTCCCGTACGCGTCTACTTTCAAGAGATTCCCGTATAGGCTATCGAACCACAGTCCGCGAACGGGAAAGCTTGGATCGTACTCGAAGGCTTTGATCTCCTGCGGGTATCCCAAAGACACCAAACGATCCTTGAGCAGCGTAAAGCCCAATTGTTCGTACTGCGGCGATTTATACTCTGGAACATTCAATATGTAAATAATGCCTTATATTTCATTCAACGTGTAAATAGCGCCTTATATTTCTTATCTGTTGCGCGTTTGTTATCTCTCTCCTTCTTTCTTTCTTTCTTTCTCTCTCTCTCTCTCTCTCTCTCTCTTTCTCTCTCTGTGTTTACCGGAGAGAGATATGCGTTTATCGATAAATAATTACCCGCCAGCGTGTAGTCCATGTCGAAGCCATAGAACTTGATGTTCTCCAAGTGGAGACTCCGGTTGACGAAGATTCTGCAACGCAACAAGAGAATCCATCACAGTCGAGGACACACAAACACTGTGCTGATTATCGGGAGGGGGGAGAGGGAGGACATTACGTCGCCATGTGGAAAATCAACGAAATTTGCAATATCGTATCCTTCGGCCGGATCGCGCACATTTTCAACGGTACGAGAGATTTAAGGCGGAAAACGCATCCCTGCGTGTGCGCATCTGATTGTGTACATTTGACTCAACGTCATCGATATCGCGCGAATCGTTGATCTGATCGAGTAACAAACGCCTGCTTTTCCCCTCAACGGAAATTCACGCGCGTGGGAAAGCACATCGGCTATCTCTGCGCGACGACGAAAGTTCCACGACGTGGAATTTTTAACGTTATGCCGATTCACACGAAATTAATTATCGCGGAAACGTTTTCGCAGGACGCCACCTAAGAAAAAGGCTTTGGAAAAATCGCGCTATGGTAAATTCGCGTTATGGTTATCCGTGCAAAAGACGGAGGACAGACACGGGGATGACTTACTCATTCTGGGCGCGCCGTCGCGAATTCGCGAAATTGGCGAGATCGGCGAAATTCGCGATTGACAAGGCGTCGTCGTCGTCGTACGCGTCCTTCAGCCACATTTTTCGCGCTGAACTATCAACGAGTCATCGATGGTCCGCGATCGATCTGCGCTTTTTCTTATCGGTCGGCGCGATATACGGACAGCGACGACGGGATCACCAGGGAAAACCGATTTGCGGAGCTTCGAGGATCAATTTCTACGACGGCCGGAAGAAATTCGACATTATTGTTTGCCGTCGTCGCGATTATGTATATATGTATGCGATAAATGTGTGTGTGTGTGTGTGTGTGTATGTGTGCAAAGCTGACAATAATATTTATCGAACAAATTATTATCCCGAGGTAAATTTCGTGCACTGAGTCACAGATATCGATATCTTGCTTATCTGATAAACACAATACACTAGCTGTAACCAGCAGTCCGAATCTCACGATCGGCCGGCGATTAACTTACAATTAAATTAATTACTATGACACACACGAGATAACAGTTCGAGGAAGCGCACGAATGATCTCCGAAACGCCCGCTCTCCGATTCGCGTTAATATCCTACCAGCCCGCCGTCCGAAACTCGTATCTCCCTCAGAGGAAGCTACCAATTGGTGCCAGCGTGTCCAGCTGATTCCAATTGAAATACGATTCTCAAAACCGACATTCAAACGCGATCTCCTCGGACAACGGGATCGTCGTCGGGGATATTTTCGCGCGTCCGAGTTTCCGTACAAAGAGAGATCGCTCAAGTTTTCCCAGCGTTGCCGCAGCTCGCCGATTATCGCCGGTCTCGTTTATTCAGCCGATCGATCACCAACGGAGATACACGTTATTAGCGAGTTCCCGATCCGGTTTAATTGAGAGAGAGAAAGAGAGAGAGAGAGACACGAATGACAGTACGAACGGGCGACACGTTGCGAGACGAGGCGCGTGAAAGGCGCCGCTCCGTCGGAAAAACGACTGCGATGCTATCCGCTCAATGACGAAACGTCAACTGGTCTGTGCCGAGCCGCCGAGCGGATTAATACGATTGGAGCTAATTCGCCGTCTTCCGGACACAAACCTCCTCGTTTGGCGCGACCGCGTGCACGACTGCGATGCGCGCTCCGCCGTGGGGGCCCGCGTACGTACATACCTCGCTATAGCCCCGAGGTGTGCGTGGGTGTGCACGTTATTGCATTGTATCGCATTCGTACGCTATCGTGCGCGCTGATAATCGTTCACGCATCCACGCCGAGGTGACGTACGAAGCAGCGAGGATACGTGCTGACGATCGTGCCTTTCGCACTTTATCCCCGGTTCAATCGAATTCCATGCACGCGATATTGTTGACGGTGTCAAACCACCGACGACCTTGGGTCGATCGGACCCAAACCGGGGCTTTGCCGGAGCCGTTCGCGAAGGAGGCTCGGGAACTCCTCCTTGGCTCGCTCCCAAAGAGAAAATCGTCCCACACACGAAAGGGGAAATTAACCGTCCGACACAACTGAAATTGAGTCGCCAGAACTAGTTTTTACCCGTGGCAGCTAGTTTCCAGCTATGGGAGCTAATTCTTTCATTTACGTCTTCTTTGAAAGATAATTCTTCTCTTTAGATAAGATACAACTGAAACTTGGTTACCGGATTTAGTTTTTAGCTGTGGAAGCTGGGTACAGGGACGATAAGAGCTAAATTAACTAAAGTTAAGTTATATGGGCAGATAATTTTTTACCGGTGGCAGCTAGTTTTTAGCTGTAGGAGCTAGTTTTCAGCTACAGGAGTTAATTCTTTTTTTTCCGTGTTTCCCGGTGCCACGGGAGAACGCACGGAATTTTCACGAATGGCAAGGATGGCGAGCAGAATGGATCCATCCGCTTTTCGGTGGTTTAGCTTCGAACAGAGGGTCGATTGTGTATCCTCGTCGACTTTTTTTTCATCTCTCGTACTTTCATCTCGTGTGAATAAATACGCGCGATTGGCGATATATAGATGCGCAAAGTGAAAATACGATATCCCTACGATACCGTTCGATGCCATTCGACACGAAATTACTTCGACGTGCAACTTCACGTAAGATACATCGGATTTTCGTCATGGTGAAAGTTATCGAGATCAAACGAGAACTCATTTTTGCGATTCTCACTGTGTTTTGAGATGCGCAATCAATCGGTACGGTTTCAGTTTTGGAAAAAAAATCGCTTTTCCCCATTTTCCCGCGGATTCCTTCGGTTTCTATCCCAAAGGTAAAATTCCCCCGTGTTCGGCTAAAACCTGCCACATTTACTTTTTTCCGCGAAGAGAAGAACGAAAAAAAAAAAAACAATCCGCGGAAAAATCGGAATAAAGAGTTTATTCCGAAACTTTTTTAAAACTATGCACAATCGACCTCCGGATAGCGATTCGGTGAAATTTCGACATCGGAGCTTTCGCCAAAGCGTTATCGTCGTTACGCATAACTTTAGATAAAACGTAAGAGACAAAAGCGTTCGGTCGCTCCGCACGAGTGTATGTTTTTCTTTCTCTTAATCAATGTTATCGTGACACAGGCAGGTAAGACGCGAGGATGAAAGAGCGCTGAAGATATGATATTTTGAAATTCAAGACTCCGTTCTCGAAGCACACTCCGGCGAGAGAGAAACGTTCCTTTTACCCGTTCTCGATCTTGCGCCGATATAACGCGCAAAGGATACGACCGAAAGTAATTAACGCGGCGCGTAATTGGCGGCCGAGCATCGTCGGGATGGTCGCGTGAGATTTAATCGATATTAATTCGACTTACACCGTTAACACTGCATGCACCGCCGTCGGTTTGCACACGCAGCGAGCGAGCGAGCTTAAATTCCACGCCGCTTCTCGAACTTATCGCGTGACCAGAACGCGACGGCCAGAGCGCCGATCGATTTGCACTTGCGTCAGACGTTATTTACATATTTCTAATTTGTCCCGAAGCGAAAGTTCGTTAATGACCTCACGTTGGAATATCGGAGATCCGTATCTCTCGGAATGCGATCGGTTCCCTCTACGTATAATGACCGTTCGCTTCGTATTTTTTTTATCTCTTCGTCGAAGGTGAGGCGCCGGAGGCGCTGATAAATATGAATCTGATACCCTGTCAACAATAACAAGGTTTCGAAATCTCGCTGAATCGTAATCTGAAGGTCGATTGTGTACGGTTTCGAAGTTTCGAAAGAGAAGCAATTTTTTCCCAATTTTCCCGCGGATTTTTCCGGTCTCTTACCTTCTCTTCACGGTAAAAGGTAAAATGTTTCGTTATCGGTTTTAATCGAACACACGTGTATTTTTCTGAACGAACTTTTTATACTAAACAATTTCAATGGGAATTTGAAACGGGATTGCGGATGGAACTTTTTACAGTTTTAAAATTTCAGAAAAAAAAAAGCATTTTTTCCCCATTTTTCCGTGGATTTCTTCAGTTCTTCTCCCAAGTATAGAAAAATTCGCTTGGCAACATTCACGTGCGTTCGGTTAAAACCTACATTTATTTTGTTGCGTAAAGAAGATAAGAAACCAAAAAAATTCGCAGAAAAATAGGGAAAATGGGAGTATCTTTTCCGAAACTTTAAAACTATAGAATTCCCTTAAGACGAGAATTGAAAAAAAAACTCACGGGGAAAATGAAGACAAAATGGTTTTTATAAAACTTAAAAACTACACGGAAAAAGAATCCGGTTGCAGTTCTGGTTGAAGGAGACAATTTCTGGTTCTTATGATCCAAATGTGGCTCTTATAATCAGAAATTCTGTTTCCTTCAAATAAAATGCATCTGGTTAGTTCCCACTTTCTGACTGATACCAAACTTTTTTTCCGTGTATAATTTCGAGTGTTTACGGTGAAGCTTCGAGTATCTACGCTGCATCCACGAGGCGACAATTTCAATCGTCGTAGAAACGGGACATTCGTCGCGCCTTCGTTCGTTTTCGTGAGTCATGCGAGTCGGCGGAAAGAAAATACGCGAGTTCCCGGCAACATCCGCGGCCTGATAACAACACCCGGTGCCTGGTATGCGCGTGAGAACTTGCCCGTGTCCGGTCTAATATTAGACCTCCTCAAATCGTCCTTTCGATCCCACGTAAACCTATATAAACCGAGTGAACTTTGAGGCTTGCGTGTGCATATTATAGGCGCAGAGGATCGCGTGGAAACGCGAATCTCCGTACGTTCGATGACTGAACAAATCGAGAGAAAGAGATAAGGGGGGGGGGGGGAGAGCACGTCGATTGGAGATTGTATTTGTATGACTTTGTTGCCAATGCGAAGCGCGCGCTAAATATACATATCGCACCGAGAGTCTTTGACCCGTACTCCCAGCGTGTGTTTAACGCGAAACGCGACTGTTTACGTCGAATATATATACCACGCTTAGTTATCTTGGCAGAATTCAAAATGAGCGGTCACGCTCGAGTGGGCGCACACACACAACGAGTTTCTTTCGCCTAAGATTACGAAATATGCACGGGAAAGAAAAAAGTTTGGCTGAATTCACCAGACAGTGAGTAAACAAATGAAACACGTTTTGGTCGGAGGAAACAGAATTTCTGGTTCTTATGATCCAAATTTGATTCTTATAGCTAAAGGTTCGGTTTGGTTCGTGAAAAAAAAAAATATCTGCAGTCGGAAAATTCGCTGTTAAAATCGAAATCGTTAATCGAAGAATACCCCCCTCTCTCTCTCTCTCTCTCTCCTTCTCTCTCTGACGTATAATTACAAAGGAAAATTGATAGAGTAAATTAATGATCGGGGTTAATCACTAATGACGCTGCTGCGTCGGAAGAAGCTCTTTCTAAAGTGCCTATGAGGGATCTATCAAGGTTCGCGAGATTCTACGCGTAATCTCGAGAGGCGACTTAATTGTTTCAGCGCGAACTACTTGGACGCATTATTTCGCTCAGCCGACTCTTAGTTAAGTCGGTCAAGCGCTGCATGAGAGAGAGAGAGAGAGAGGAGAGGATGCGTGCCGCTCGCGCGCGAATCGCACACAGCCGTTTGCACTTTCGCCGATTATTTATTCACTACGTCTACACACCGTTGTGTGTTTAACACGTTCGCCACAAGCGTCGTTCAGCCGGAAAACCGTCCCCACCACGAGCTCCGCTAGATTTTAGTAGGTTGTCTTCTTTTTTAATTTCACTTTTAATTTAAAATTTATATTCTTAAGTTAATATTCCTGAGAAAAGAAATTCTTCTCTTATAAAAGTAATAACGAGCTTTTCTAATTTGTAATGAATAAATCTTAATGCTGTATCATCAAGAAAAATATTCCTCGCTCGAGATAACCACTACTCAAAAGAAGACAAATAAACTGATTAACTGCTTTTATTCGTGGTGCAAGCAGTATTTTTTCTATGTGTAGAAACGCGTTAAAGACCGAGCGAACAAGGCGTCGCGCATATGCGCGTCACGTTGCCGTCTTTCATTTATTTCTTTTTTCCCTTTACCCTTCCTCGGGAAAATGTTGCAGGTGTAAAAACCACCGCCGAGATATGCGCCATTTCGTCGCCCGTACATTTCAGTGCCCCCCTCCCCCCTCCCCCAAAGCGACATCGCGAACGCGGACATGAATGAATTACGCGACTATGTACAGTCGCGACGCGGAAACTCGTACGTCGTTCGTCGGGCTCCTGCCAGAACTTTCTGCCAGGCTCAAAATAAGTCACGCTGGTTGCGTAAGCAACTGTCGTCGTTTGTAACACGGTAAGTACGTCATTCAAGGATGAAGGGAGGTGAGAACAGAGGATCAAGGTTGCGCGGTCGATCCGAGAGAAAGACGAAAAGCCCGCGACTTAATCGTCGAACACTCGAGATTTCCCCAAGTCGGACACTCGAGATTTCCCCACTCCGGAAAAGTCTTCCATATTATTAACACATTAACGGCGGGCGATCTCGACGAAAGTATGCTAGGTAGCGCGGCGGCCGCCCGCCTCGTTTTTCGGCCTAGAGTGGGCGATATTTTGTGTGATCATAAAAACTTTAAGGTACAGTCGAGATAAATCGTAGTACTACGACTCCCGCCCTTAATGTGTTAACATGCAAGATAGGACGTGCGGCTTTGTCACGGTGACGCATCTTTACGCTCTCTCTCTCGCATCGAGCTCTCGTTTACATCATACCGCCACCGGTCGTCGTTGTCGCTCACTATCAGCTTTATGAGGAAACTTGTTTGCGCCACTCGTTGGAAATTTTTCGTCATTTTATCTCGGCTTACTTAAACGCGTCTTTTGACCGTTCCATTCTCGGTTCAGCTTTATTTTACGATGAACGCGCGATACGCCGGCGAGAAAAATAGACGCGCGTTATTATATCGCCTCGACGGAGATAATTTCCTTTCCTTTTCGTGAGGAAACCACACGCGCGCTAATTAATCCTCTCTACGCGTATCCTTCCCGTACATTAATTAGTTTCTTTTTCTAATTTCCCAGGTATGCATATCCATGTCGGAAAAAATGGAGGGAGGAGGGCAAAGCTCGTGACAATCGACTCGGCTCGATTCGATGGATAATTGCGGCTGTCGTAAGAAGCAGCCGCGAACAACGCCAGGAACGATTACGCGGAATGGGATAATAACTATTGGCGGCGACACAATGAAATTCTATAAAAGATAACGAGCGTGGCCGCGTGACGAAAGCACCTCATTATCTAATAACATTATTGAACGCTCTAATCTATCGTGATTAGTCACGCTTGTTCCCGCGCGCGGCCGAGAGTGACTTTGACCAGATTCCTACGTCGCGAATGATGGCCGAGACACACTCTTCGGAATTACCCTCGTTAACGAGCGATATGTAACGGTAAACGTTGGACGCGAGCGACACGCAAAATTAAAGAAAAAAAAATTAGAGAAAAGATTAATTCGCTTCGACGTGTGACGCGAGAGAGAGAGAGAGAGAGAGCGACAAATCGCGCGGTTTCTCGTCGTTGAGCGATTGTGACTTGGGAGGACTGTGGGGTGAGGAAAGAGGAGCGTCACCGAAAATTATCACGGGTGCTTTCCATTTAATGACGCAAGTCGATTTCTAGTGTTTTGTTTTTGCTTCCTATTTAATTGATGTCATTGTATCGGTCATTGACTCGGTCGACTTCGATTAACCTTACCTCGGCTAGGAATTGAGCAAATCTAAAGGAAGAAGTGGGGGAAAAATTTAAACTACCAGAAGAGAGTGAAAAATTTTCTACATATATCTTTCCTTTTCCAGTCTGCAAAAATTTACACGGGAAAAAATGCAGTTGGAAATCAATAAAATTGCCAATAGCTGCGTAATTGGGGTAAATCTTCTTGATTCAATGGCAAATGTCATTAAAACTACCATGTCATGTATTGTTTCAATAATTAAAGTATCGGTTTCAATGGTATCGCAGTATTGAATCAAGGAGATTTGCCCAATTACGCGTGCTATTGGAAATTCCATCGGTTCAACAGCATTTTTCCCCGTGCAAGCTTTTCCTGTGCTTCTCTCAGTGTCATTTACTCAAAGTTGTGCGCACCATCCTTCGCGTGCTTCTCATTTATTATATTGAAACTATCAACTTGAGCCAACTCAAATCGACAAGAGACTCGTTAAAAAGCACACATGTAAATGGAAAGCACCCAATTAGGTGCCGCATTGATTATCTCGCAGAATGGAGCGGCGATGAACCGATCGCGCGGTCGCTTCGTCGATCGACGAGATTCGCGAGCTGGATTCGCGCTCGCAAATACGAGTTCGGTTCGAGATAGACGATCGATCGCGAGCAGCTCGAGATGCGGGTCCTCGAATTCATCGTTGCCGTTCGCAACGAGCACTGCAGGTCGTTGCGAACGGCGGGCGCGCGCATCGCGTTACCGCAGGAGATGACGGTGCCCCGGCAGCGGGGCGAGCGTTCATCCTCGGCTCGTGCTCGGTTTTCCGGTACACGCGAAAACCTATATTTTCCCGACGTAAAATCGATGCCACGCCGCACCACTCGAATCTTTCTCCCTGTCGGAGAGGAGAGGAGGTTCCCGCCGCATCACCGCCGAGGTAAAATCGCGCAGAAAAGCGCACCCGCTGACCGAGCGCGAAAAACCGCGCGAGATTTCCCGATTTTATTCCTTCGTTTACCTTTTTTGTTTCGAGAGAATTCCGTAGGAATGAAACGGATGAGGATACCACGTGATTATCGCTGCCGAGATTCTCACGATCGAGCAATCGAAAGCGAAGGAAGGAAGAGATATTTTCGCGAATTGGGTTTCGCACATCTCTGTGAAGTTGACCTTATTTTCTCATAATTTGAAAAAATGCGCAGAGTTCTGCCTGCCTCTCAAAGAGTTCTAAGGTTCTTAATCAATTTTAATAGAGTTCTATCGGGTTCGAGAGGGTGAAATTTTGGCGTTCCATTGAGAGTTCTAACAGCTTCCCGAAGAGTTCTATCAATTGTTTTTAAGAATTGAGGCGCTAAGTTTTAAGGTAAAAAAGTTATGGTACTTTGAAGTTACACGATCGTGAAGTTGACTCCTTCTACTTTCATGTAGTGTTTTGAGACCGCTTTAATCGACGGAACTCCTGATATAGATGAAAAACTTTAGAACTCTTTAGGAGACCGAAGCAGAACTTCGCTCATTTTTTTTTAATTTCGAAAAAATTAGGCCAACTTCACAGAAGTCGCGGTGGGTGCTGCTCGGAGGTTTTTCACCGCGTGTTCCACACACCCTTTCTCTCGTCTATCTCTTAATGCAAAATCCTGGATTTACCTGTGCCCCAATTCGCGCTTATCAGTGCGGGCGCCATGAGTGCCCTCGTTGTAGCCGTCCAGGTCTTGCTCGCTACGATCGTTCCTGGTCAGTCCTACGTTAAGGCTGAGGATGGTTCGGTGAATCGATTCCTCGGGGAATACGTTCGAGTCATCCGGGAATCGCACTCTCGGCCCTGCACCGTCAAATATCGGAATATCGTCCTTGTTACTTGTTAAAGAGGTTCAGTGCAAGAGAAAAAAGGGAAAAGGGAAAAAGAGAGAAAGAGAATAGCGTGATGATATTCCGCACGCAAAGTTCGTTTTTCCCTCGCGCTGTGTGTTCCCACGAGCACAACGGGGCGCCTTCGATGGAATGTGAGGATAAGATAAGCTAAAATTAGGCTTAAAACTGCACGTTACTGACCCGGGGCCAAATTCTATAATTGGGAGAAGACGAAAGTAGGTTCCGCCCGTAGCGACAGACGCCGTCTGTCTCCGCGTCTGTGGACCGCGAAAATGGACTTTCCAGTTTTACGCAATGACTCATCTAATTGCACTGAACCCTTCGATTTGGCTCCAAGGAAGCGAGAGTTCCAAGGACGAGAGAGAACAAATCGAAACATCAACGACGATGTTGTTGTCGAGTAATCGACGATTATATGACAGAAAATGAATCTTAAGAAAAAGAAAAACAGTTACCAGTGCTGCTGCTCGCCGGCGTAATTACCACGTCGACTCTTCGGCGACTCATCACGCGAATTAATGACGGTGCAGATCGCTCACTTCCGAACGAGCTCGTCGCAAATATCCGTGGCAAGGTAGTGTAGGTAAATAGGTATTGTAGGTAAATAGGTAGGCAGGTACGTGGTAATCGTCGATCGCGCGCGAATCTTTTCCTCGAGCCGGCCGACGCGAGTGACGACGACGTAATGCGACGGAATGATTTCCGAATAAACAACGACCTTCCTTGACGAGAGCGCGAAGCGGAGAAACGATAAGGACGCAGCGGCCCCAGGGGTCATCATCTGCGTGACGACAGAGATGAAGAAGGGAGGATAATCGCGAAGTTCGCTCGCGTGATGCTTTCTCAATCGGAGCCTCCGTGGGGGATTTTGCGGGTCAGGAAAGAGAGAGAGAGAGAGAGAGAGAGAGAGAGAAATTAACGCGGCCATGGGGAGTCGGAAATTAGTCGCCACGACATGTCATACTGCCTTATCCTGCGTCTTCGGCCATGGTGATCTCGGGAATTTCCTCTGACTGTTATGCGTTGATATTTTTTATGATTAGTGTGCACAAGGCGCGACGCTTGGCGAATGCCTGACAAATATCGCCGAACTATTGCCACTACTGGAATTTTTACCACTCCAAACATACTCGAGGGATGTCTCAGAGATGTTTAAGGGCCCTACTCTTTTCGGATGTTCCTCCGGTGTCTTCAAGAAAAATGTGCCTTACACACTCACATAACATCTACGACGTCGTATCTACGTTATCTACTTTTCCATCTCTCGTATTGTATCTTATCGTTATATTTTCGAAATAAAATCACATGACGCGTGTCTCCAAGTTCGACTTTCTGGGTATCGATCGTGTAATTTTCCCCTAGGACGAAAACGCGAAAAGTGAAAATTCCAAATATTTTCAAATTAAAAGATTTACACTTTTCATGAATTTACGTCCCCCTGGGAGTTGATTATGAATCCTCTCCTCTAGCATGAACTTTTGCGAAAAGTGTAAATCTTCTAATTCACAAAAACACTTGGAATTTTCACTCTTCGCGTTTCCATCTTATGGAAAAATCACTTGACCGATACCCTGAGCACGCATCACGCTCGAGAAATGTGCATGACAGATGTGTGAGAGAGAGAGAGAGAGAGAGAGAAAAATAAATAACGTGGTATGACAAAACTGAGTTACCAACGATCGATTAGACAGAAAGTGTCTGCTGATTAGGTACAAAGTATATCGCGCAACGTAAATAAAAGCAGACGACGCAACGCTGTAACACAATAAAAGAAATGTATATGTTTATGAGTTGTGAGCTCATGTGTTAGAAATGTATCCCAAGACGTACTCTGACGCGTCTCGCTCCGACTCCGCTGGAGTTTTTCCAGCTTCGCATACGTTGCGAAATAACGAGATGCGTGTGCGTATATATATGTATATTATTTATGTCGCGCTATTTCCGAAATACCCGAAATATTTCGGGTCGATGTGTGACGATCTGTTCATGTTACAATCCCAAAATATAGTATTTGCGGGCGCACGCGATGACGTAAAAACCAAGGTTGGGAAGTAACGCGTTACTTATAACGTTGTTATTGTTATTTTCTTCAATAACGATTTGGTAACGACATTAAATTTTCTCATTAGTAATGATAACGCGTTATATTTCCTGGGTAATGGTAACGAGTGTAATCGTTACTTTCATCGTTACTTCGCATACGTACAATACACATGTGTATGAAACAAGCAGAAGCGAATTTTAAAGAAAAGTTTAATTATTATAATATATGGCTTCACATATAATTATATATGTAGCCATATAGAGACAACATTCACATATAAATTACATATGATTATATGTAATTATATATTATATAATTTTACATGATTATATATATATATATATATATATATATAATCTTTTCTCTCGGGAAGTAGCAATAATGGTAGTTTGTTTTTTTCAGTAGATAACGAGTAACTTTTCAAAATCTCCCAACCCTGGCAGAAATGTATATCTCGAGGTGTCGCTCGGACGTGCTGTTTTATCCGACAACCCGATAAGCCTGTGAAAAGTACACGACGACGAGAGATCAACTCACTGACCTTTGGCTGGCCTGCCGGTACCACTTTTTATTGCCACTGGGATCATTCTCGTGCTGCGGCGTGTTAGGCCCCGTGTTCTCCTGGTCTCCGTGCATGTTGCAGTTCTCAAGCTCCATGATCAGCTGCGAATGCAAACGCGAGAGTGAGTCACGTCGCGACGCGTCGTAATGCGATTCTACGCGAAGAGGGCCACGTGGACAATGTCGACGCGGATATTTACGATCGCGGAGAAGAGGTAAAGCGGCCCGCCGATCCGTAACGAGAGAATCCGACTTTAACCGGAGAACTTCAACCGTAGACTTTAATTGGACACATTAAGAGTTCCTTCCCGAGTCTCTCAGGCTGCGTTCGATCTTCCGATTGGCCGGAAAACGCCCGGATTCCACGCCTGGGAAATCTTCTCCTTCACGACGAGTACTCAAAGCAAGATTACTCGCTACCGCAATTACGTGCACTTTGTGCACGGAATTACTGTCTCGGAAACGCGACACCGGCCATTAACAGATAAAATGCTCTCACAAGGGGATATTCAAATCGCGTTCGACGAGACCGAAAAACTTGAAGATCCCGAACGACATTTTACAGATGATTTCCGTCGATCTTCCCGGTCATTCTCTTCCTCGGGACGATAAGCGGAAAGTCGATAAGAGCGGCGGCCTCCGGAGGAGAGGATGGTGCGTTAACGATCGCGGACAAGCGTTCCCGTCGGCGTCGGCAGGTCGGTCCACCGCGCGAATCGGGGAACGTCGTTCGAAAAAAACGCCACTCGCGCGTGTTACATTGTTTACACGGAGAGCTGTGCGGAAGATAAGGTGAGAGCCGAGATAAACGGAGGCCGTTTCGCGCCCGCACGTCGACGTCGCGAGCCCGGACGTCTCGCGCGTCGGCAACGGACGTCGGCGTACCTTTCCTCGTCGTACCTGCTCGCCGTAGCAGCGTGTCGCGTGTTCTCAGACGTAGGGCGCGATGGCACTCGCTCGCAGAACCGTTCGAGACGCTCCGAGCTGTCATCTGACTGTTGACAGGCCGCTCCACACCCTCGCGCGATGCAGATTCACTGCGTACTGCCGCATACCACCCGGGTCAATTCGTCGAACCGTGCGCCGACCCAGGCGTGCCAATCGACCTGTCCGTGGCGCGCGAACTCTCCCGAGATCTCGCGCGCGAAATTCGATCGACGCGATTTAAAATCCGTAGCATCGTCCGGAGGTCGTCTCGGTAACGTTAACGCCCTGATAACGATTTAAGAACCCCGGATATTCCGTCACGTTCGCGATCATGGTGACACCGAATATCCCGCGATACGTGCCTCACGGCGGCGGCGCAAGGAGGGTGAGCGCGCGAAAATACGAACGGCGAATTTGACGGCCTCGGCGGGGCGAGCTTCTCTTCGAAGTTACCGACCGCGCTTACGACACTCCTTCGTCCTGATTTATTATAGTCGTAGGATTTTATAGCAATGGCCGGCTGCACACGGACATTACGAAAGTATTATCGCGATGTAGGGCGCGGGATCGAGTCGCACGTTGTTTCTAATGCTATTTTAACCGCAACATTGTTCGACTTTGGATGCCAGAAAAGAAGTTGGACTGATACGCGGGACATGATGCCCGGGGAAAAATGATTATATATGAATTTCGTCTATATATACCCATGTATAATCATATGTAATTATATATGTCCTACATCTAAGAAATACTTTAATTATACGAATGCAATTGAAGTAAATGTTTATGGCCGCCCACGTATGTAAACACTTAATTCAGTCAAAATATTTCTCCAAAATATTTCGCTTTTCATTCAATAGTATTTCTACTTCATATGTGAACATATATAATTGTACACGTAGAGACAAAATTCATGTATAAATTACATATGATTATATATAATTACACATAATTTTATATGATCATATACAATCTTTTATTCCCGGGTGTTGCTCTCAGACGTACCTAGAACGTCGGGACGATTGTCGGAACATCATTAAGTGTTACGTGATTAGAAGTCAACCTCCAATGAGGGGTTAATTAAAAAATGACGCGCCGTCCCTCTTCCTCTTCCTGTCTCCCTCACTCTCTCTCTCTCTCTCTCTCTCTCTCTCGGATTCATTCAAGACCAGGTGCGGGGAGGCGAGACTGAAGTAAAAGAGGGGAGAGGGGGCGATGGTGTGATCAAACACAAGATGAAACAATAAATAATGCACCTGTCGGATAATCGAGGCGCGGATAACACGCGGAGCACTGGGAGCACCCGTGAAAACAGCGTGGTGGTCGTCGTCGTTGTCGTCGCCAGCGGAGGCGGTCACAGCGGTGGACGAGGAGCTCGTCCGTAGCGCCGTTCGGTCGCAGCGCGAGCCGTCGGTTCGTTGTCGGCGGAGCGCCGAGAGCCGCGGAGCGGTAATAGCGAGGGGAGCAGGAGGAGGTAAAAGCCCGTGGCAGGCTGCGATATTTACGAATCTCCTCCACGCGCCGCTCATCGTCGTGCTCTCTCGTCGTCGTCGTCGGCTCGTCGGCGGACGGGAGGCGATCGGCGATGATCGCGGCGGTGGCGACGAACGAACGATGCGGCCACGCGTCGTCGTCGGTGCCTCACCGGGATAGCAATTACGTCGGTCATCATCGGGTGTTGCGTAAAATTAATCCGATTTGGGACTGACCTCGCGGCAGCCGCGCGCGACATAACCTACAAAGGCGAGAGAGAGAGAGAGTTTGCGCGCGAGCGCGCGCGCGCGCCGCCACGCACCTCGCTCGAGCGGCTCCGCGTTCTCGAGCGTCGCGTCGCGTCGACAGTTTCCTTCGTCTTTTCGGGCACGTCCGCGCTCATGTGTAGACCGCTCGCGTCGGAAGCGTCCCTCGTGATGAAAATGATACATCGATACGCGCGGCGACCAATATATCGTGCAGTGCGCGGACGGGCACAGTGAGGAGAGGAGGACGCGACAACGCAGCGGCGACGGCGGCGGCAGCAGCAGTAGCAGCGATCGCGTCGCTCCGTGCCGCGTCGTGTCGTGTCGTGGCCCAACCCACTTTTGACGTGTGGCCGCTCGACAGGTCCTGACAGGTCCCTGAACCATGTACTCGCGGTGATACGCAACTCCTCCTCGTAACCGTTGTCGTCGTCGTCGACGGCACCTGACCACAGCTCTCTCTCTCTCTCTCTCCGCCGACCTCGAGTGCCGTCGAGCGCGCGTGTTTGCGTCGCGTCGCCTGCGTGCCGCTCTGCGTCTCGGATGGGTATGGAATTTTACGCGACGACCACGACGACTACCGACGATGATCCGTGAGCTATAGCGCGCACCGACATAACCTGTAAAAAGCCGAGCGACACGACGACCGCCGCCGAGCTCCGCCGTTCGATCGGTTCGCTCGTCCGCGTTCGTTCATTCATCCGTACGTTCGCAACGGACGTTCGCCGCGATGTCAAGAACCGCGACGACTTCACCAGCCTCCCGTTGACTATCTCGTCGTCACGACGGAAGCGATAATCCGTCTCTGAGCCTTTCTACTTCTTCGGAAACATCCGGAACGACACTCACCTGCCCGCCTGTCTCTCTCTCGCTCGCTCGCTCCTTCATATTTTATTATCGTGCGAATCGTGTGAATCGTTCCCGTTTTTGTGTCCCGCTGCGTCCTTACTTTATTTAAATTTACATGCACTACGTGTTCGTCGTACTGTACCTGACGATGTTCAGTTTAATTCTGTTCTGTATACTTTTGTTCTCGCGCGACGTTATATCGAGGATACAATCCGTTTTGTACCTTTGAGTTCCGTCTCGCCGCGGGCTGTGTGATTTAAAATAAATTCCATTACTCACGCAAAAAGAGCGAAACCTTGTGTGTTTTTATTTCCGCCGTACTTTGATGCAACACCCGCGCGTGCCGTACCCACCATTTTTCCTCACATATCAATTCTGCACAGACAAATTCGCACCTGTAAGTATGCATTTTGAGATGATCTTCCGTTATCCTTCTCCGTTTTTCTCTTATCGCGCGAAGCGTTATTATTTTCTTGCAGCTTTGACTTATGTGTATGCGTGTGTGTGTATGATCCAGCAGCTTTGTTGTGTGAAAAATCAGATTCTCCAACCGGCCAAACCGAAGGATAGTTTGTATTGTTAAAGTTGCGCACAAATTCATCGGATATTTCATACAGCTTGACAAATTACTTGTACTAGAATTACCAATTGGAAGATGTACAGTTTCGTTGAAATAGATTATGTGAAACTGATGAGGCATCAATGCCGAATAGACTTGGCTTTTTCGTTAATCGCACAGATCTCGCTACAGCATCCTGTAGCCAAGTCTGAGTAATAATCGTACAGTAATCATTCTCTGTCAGTTATCAAAGCGATGGTGTACTAAGAGTTCGGCAATAGTGGACTGATTAGTTGAGAAAATTCTCCAAGCTGAGAGAACCATGAATAACCAAGCGTTCAGTTTGGCGGAGAGGCTGATACCCTCGACTTACGTGCAACAAGGTTTAAACGCCAAGAAGTCGCGCGAGAATCTCATACGACATTTTATCGAACATGTAAGCGGCAGACAGGAATATAGAATCAAATGTGTCTCACATACGATACGCTTTCTTACGACGTTCTTCTCCTCCAACAGCGAAAATGGCCAGAGGAAGGTTGGGACGACGCGACGATAGAAGCGTTCCTGTCGGACCTGTCGCAAATGGACAGCAATAATTTCCCCTCAAACTGTAGCGTCGGCGAACGCGAGGCGAGAATCGTGTCCAATATCGTCGCCAGACGGCACTTTCGTATGGGACACGGCATTGGAAGATCCGGCGACCTCGAGGAAGTACAACCGAAGGCAGCTGGTAGCAGTTTAATGTATAAATTAACCAACTCTCTAGTGCTCGAAGTTATACGATACATGGGTAAGGAAGCACACGAAAGCGTACACTCGTTATGTAAAGAGTACGGAACATAATCTGGCTCCCCGATAGCACAAATTGGAATTTTGCCTCAATACTACTTTGAAATTTTATTCAGACAAAACCGTTTCATCATGGCATCTTAGCGCAATAATTGAGAAATTCTTCGTCATTTCATGACGCCATTATTGTGTAGTGTTTCGACAGTTGTGCTATCGGGGGATCTTCTGCTTGCCGACAGTTAGGAATGAACGACGCGGAGTACAATCGAGATCAGCTTTAGCAAATCTTACGTATTACCTGCGTGTGAGATAGCGCACACACGTATGCACTAAAGGGAGTATCCTCGTTTGTAGGGGTGAAGAGCATAGCGGGTTGCTTCTTATCGCCGATGGCCACGGGGATGAGCCTAGTTCTGTGTATGTTAACGCTTAAGCAAGACAGACCACGGGCGAAATACGTTCTATGGCCTAGAATTGACCAAAAGTCTAGCTTCAAATCTATAATCACCGCGGGATTAGAGCCCGTCGTAATCGAGATGCAAATAATAGGGGACGAATTGAAGACCGACATGCAGAGACTCGAGGCTCAAATGGCGGCTCTGGGCGAGAGCGTCGCTTGTGTACTTACAACGACCAGTTGCTTCGCGCCCAGGGCGTGCGACTCCGTAGACGCGATCGCGGCTCTTTGTACTCAGTACAACATACCGCATTTGGTGAACAATGCGTATGGGTAAGTAAGAGATTGTTCCGCTCGCATCCGCGCGAATCGGTATCTCGCCGCCGAGACGACCAGTGTCGCTCTTTGATTTGTGTGTGTGTGTGTGTGTGTGCGGAACACTACTACTATCGTGAGTGCGGCTTGGTCGTCTCGGGATGCCGAAGATATTCCGGTCGAGAGTTATTTGCTAAATATATTGCACTATACTGCTAAAAGCTTGCAGAGTACAAGATGTATGCACCTCATACAAGAAGCATCGAGGAAGGGCCGCGTGGACGCATTCGTTCAAAGCACGGACAAGAACTTTCTCGTTCCAGTGGGCGGCGCTATCATAGGTTCCTTCGATAAGAACCTGCTGGACCGCATATCGAAGATGTATCCGGGACGTGCGAGTGCGAGCTCCGTTATGGACGTGATGATCACGCTGCTGAGCCTTGGAATGGCAGGGTACAAACAATTGATTGCTCAACGTAAGGAGATGTATTCTTATTTGAAAGAGGAGCTAGGGAAACTGGCGACGAGACACGGCGAGAGACTGCTGGATACCAAGGGGAATCCGATATCCATGGCCATGACCCTCCAATGTCTGAGCCATCAGCACGACAACAAGCAAGTTACTATGCTAGGATCAATGCTATTTCTCCGTAACGTTAGTGGTACTAGAGTAATAACGACTACAGATTCTAAGCACATCGTTTCACATAAGTTTGAAGGTACATACCCTTAAAAGTTATGATTTACGCCTGCTTCTACTTGTCATGGTTTGAGTACACAATTCGACTCGACGATGTGACCAATCGGACCAATTAGCTGATTGCCTATCGATGTGATCCGGTGATTCAGCTTCATTATCGTCGATTCAATTTAAACCGTGACGATAGAAACGGGGAATTAGTAATACACGTTGAGAATATATTATATTGATAAGTCTTATTGATATCTAGTAGACGCCATATATATATATATATAAGCTTCTGTTCCGATACTCACTGCCGGTATTGAGCATTTATAGCGCACGGAACGTGAATTATAGATTTTCAGTGCTGGCAGTGAATATCGGAACGCAGCTGTAGTATGCGCTACAGTATTATTCACACATTGGTCCAACCTTTTATCCTAGTTCAATACTTCGCCAAAGGTACCAGAATCAATATCAAACAAGCGCGATCGTTCTCTTTCTCTCGATCCTCAACAGGTTGGGGAGCACACAACAGCAATTACCGAGTTCCATATCTGACTGCTGCGGCGGCCTTAGGCATGAAGAGGTCTGACGTGGACGCGTTCATACAAAGATTGGATAAAGCTTTAACGAAAGTGAGGAGGCGTTCGGCGCCGGTAACGCCCACCGCCTCGCTCGCCGGTTCCAGCATCAATGGAGATGCGGGCGGCACCGGCGGACCGGGAGAATCCAGCACAGCCTCAACCAGCCGCGCGAGTAGCAAAGACAGCCTGCGAAAATGAACCGTAATCAACGCAACTGGCCAGTCCAATCAGCACATTAATATCAATTTGTAAGTAAATTATCACTTGCAAATTGTTATCTCCTCAGCACATTTCTGGGAAATGCGACTCGACGAGACGGGGGAGAACGTTTCACAATCGCTGTCGATCGCGTTGTACGTAAATTTCAGTTGGACAGGAATTACAAGAACTGAAAAATCCGAAATCACACAATAGAAAGCAGAAACTATTGATATTTTGAAATTGTATACAACATACTTCTTCTTCAGGACGAAGGAAAACATTCCTCTCCTGAGTAAGATGATACGGAGACACCTGTTGTAAAACAGTGTCTCCGGTGTGTGTCTTGTGTTATTTCAAAATAGATCGAGAGCGATTGCGAATGCATTTCACAGACGTGTGCTGGGTACGAATGTGCTGATTCGTCTGTCCACTTGCGTTGAGATATTGTCAATTCAAACCATATACCAAAGAGGGGTAAGTTCAGACATTAAAGAGAGTGATCATCAAAGTTAACATTTGAAGACGACGAAAAGGAGGTACGAAGCATTAGGGTTCTTATGGATCTGTTTTGAAATATTTAAGTGATAAGCGCTGGCCGCAGATATGATTGTTAAGTTTGCTCTTCGTTGTAAATGTATATGCTATTATTTATGAGAGACAAAAATAGGGAATGTTAAATTCTTGTACTTCTTATCTTCTTGATTTCTAATATATAGTTTGATACGAATGAACAAAAGAGACGTATATATTAGCTGAAATATCATGAATTGTACATACCTATGTACTTGCTTTGTATATTGTAGATTTCTTTTTTAAAGGAGCAACTATAAGATCTTTTACAATTACGGTCGGTATACGTAACGACATTGACCATATCTAATTTTGCTATATTCGCCGTGCTGCTACTCTGCTAAGAGCTATTGTATTTTTTAGGCAATTTATATAATTACTTATTACTGTCTTGCATAATTATTGCCTTCAAATAGAGATTGCACACACGGGACATATTTTTTCCTTTCTTTTCTCTTCGATTCGAACGGCACAAATTTACGATGCATTAAGCAAGGAGACATATTATCTGTAAAAAAAAGGGAAAATCTGTAGTCAAATATCGACGCAAAACACACTATTCGGAAAGTATGTCAAAAGTGAGATACAATGCAATGACACAATGTGATATACGAGAATGTTACATTGGATACAATGTTACATTGGATTTGCAAAAAGTCAAATATCTTTGTGTGTGTATATATAGGCATCGCGTACGTTGGTTTCTATTCGCAACAATTACGATGACATCACATTGCCATTTTGTTTCACAAGTGCAGATGGTGTTATTTTTAATTATATATTATTGTAAAATAAAGAAGAAAAAAACACACACTATGTATCTCTAAGTCAGAGATTTTGTGTAAATATTAATATTATTTTTTCAAAATGTTTAAACACGATTTTCGAGCAAGTAACACATTGCAGTACCGGACACATTTATATACACATGCATACATACACGCCATACGCGCCATACTACGAACAGTCACACACGCAATTTATACATGAGTACGGAAGAAAAGTATGTTTATACGTTTATATATCTGCATAGGTATATATACAGATATTCATACTTGCACCTCATTCATTTGCGCATAAAGAATAGTTGATTTGAAGTTTCACGCGATCTAGAGAGAGAATGGTATATCAAAGTTATATTTATAAAAATATTTAATAGATATAAAGGAGAAGAAAAACCAATAGGCAGATTATATTAGCGCTGTTAAAGCTCCATTGAGAAATGTATAATTTACAATGCTTATCGTTAATATACGGTCTTTCTTTAGACAGAAGCATTACTCACTTGCGTTACCCACTTGTTGGGGCTTGGATTTTGCGATATACATCCTATGTTCAACATCGATATTTAGAATATTAGTCGGTATCTGGTGAAATTGATAACACAGAACACGGTGACTTTCCCAAATCGCCGATGTTCTACGAAATGTATTATTATTACAAGCAGAAAAAGCAGTGGTATATACAGATATTAGCGTTTAATTAAATGCTTAGTTGGTAGCTTATTAGGACGGCAGTGCTGATCAAGATTGTAAAACTCCTAGCATACTAATTATACGTAATTATAGATTCATATCCTTCAAGTTTGGTCACCGTAATTTTAGTAGAGTAATAATTCTTTCGTATACGTGCACGTATATCACCTCTCTTTCCTTTTTCTTTCTTTTCTGAAACTTCGATCGATGCTATAATTTACAGGATCTCTTCGGATCTCTGGTGAAATCATCTTTTACTTATAGATTCTTCGATTAACTTGGAGTCGAAAGAAGAAGTCGATTCCATATTAATCTAAGTGTGTATATAAAAGATGACTCAATAATTCGAGGATATTCTGTACGTATTGTGGCACTCGTGGCTTTCAGACATGATGATATACAAACATATTACGTATATTCCAGCCTTAAGTCAAATGATACGTTTTATTGTGTTTGTTTACCTCAGAGAAGAATATTACATACAGAAGAAAATCTAAGATGTAGTAAGAGATTGCAAAACTATCGCTATAAGGAAATTCTCATATATGACACTATAATAGGAAATGTATTGACGTTACAATATTATTTAATAAAGAAGAAATTATATGTATATACATATATACATAATATACATATATACAGAGCAACTTATATATCAGGCGTTGTGATATCTTGATGTGTTCAGGCCGTTACAGAGAGAAAGAGCGAGAGAAAGGTAAAAAGAGAAAGCGAAGGAGAGAGAGAGAGAGAATATTTGACACGAAAAAAAATTACATATTATTTCAACTTATTCAATAATATGTCAATGGGTTTGCGTTATTATTTGATATTTACTTGTCAATACTTGTAACCATCGCGAGTTTGGCCGCTAAACGGAGCAATAATTAATAATGTAAAATATTTCCGAGGATTATTTCGTTCCGTAACGACGAGGCGTTAGAAATTTTCTTAAAGAGCAATAGACAAATCACCCCTATATACGTATACATATGTATACATGTATATATACGTATACATATATGTAACAATAGTGATATATTCTAGAATAACGTACGATCTTATATGATTCTCGTACTCGTAACATTCCTATGTAAATAAAAAGAGGTCTTTATCTTGTTCACCTCCATTCCCAGCTGGATTTTATAAAGCGAAGGCCAGCTTGATGAGTATCGTGCGCCTTTCACGCATACAACGACACTTGTGGACCTAATTTTAATCCTCCCTCCTCGTCCCCCCCCTTCCCTCGCCCCCCCTCC